GAGTTGTAGTACGAGGTTCCTTCAAAGAATGTGACATCCATAGTCACAAACATCCTTTTTAAAACTGGATCAAAGCATTTGTAACCTCTCTGATTAATGGGATAGCCTACAAAAATACATTTATGTGCTTTTGGATCAAGTTTTGAACGCTTAGGATCATGGTTATGAACAAAGGCTACACTTCCAAAAATTTTTAAGGGAATGTTTGTCACTAGCCGAGAGTTTGGAAAACAGTCAATGAAAACHTGTATGGGTGTTTTAAAATYCAAAATTCGTGTAGGCAGTCTGTTAATCAAATAAGTGGTAACGACTTCTCCCCAAAGATACTTAAGAATCTTAGTTTGAAAACTTAAGGCTCTAACAACTTCAAGGAGATGTTTGTTTTTCCTTTCAGCCACCCCATTTTGTTATTACACGAACTTTGGTGTAGAATTCCTTTCTCAGCAAAAAAAATTCCCTAACACATTGTTAAAAAATTCTTTTCCATTATCACTTCGAAAAATTTTAATCTGAGTCTGAAATTGTGTTTGAACCATGTTATAGAAATTTTTGAACATGGTTTCAACATCAGATTTCTCTTTTAAAAGGAAAACCCAAAGTGACCCTAGTATGATCATCAATAAAAGTAATGAACCAATGTTTTCCAGAAAGAGTTGTTACTCTAGAAAGGCCCCAAACATCACTGTGAATCATGGTAAATGGTTTTGATTTTTTATATGGTTGAGACTGAAAAACAGCAAGATGATGTTTTGCTAATTCACAAGATTCACACTTGAAAACTGAATGATTTTTATTCATGAATAACTTGGGAAATAAATGCTTTAAATATTGAAAGCTAGGATGTCCAAATCGATAATGCCATAACAAAACTTCACTATCACTAGAAACAGAGATAGAATTGAAACAAGTTTGTCGGTCTTGCCTTCCAAAGGTTGATCATTTATTAAAGAGGTAGAGGCCATCATCCTGTTTAGAACCCCCAATCATCTTCCCCAAGGTTAAATCCTAAAATTCACAACAAGAAGACCAAAAATTAACTCGACAATTATGATCAAGGGTTAGTTTGCTGACTGACGAGATTGTATGATAGGTTAGGAACATGTAGAACATCTTTGAGGTTTAGAGAAGGAGAAATAGATACAGTTCCTTTCCCARCAAYARTAGYARAGGAACCATYTGCAATCTTAACCTTTTGATTCCCTGCACAGGGTGTATATGAAGAAAAGAATTGCGAAGTGCCGGTCATATGA